TTTTCGTTTGGAAGATCTGGTGGCTGCGTCAGCGTAGTGCACGGGGTGATGCTTTCGTCATTTGGTCCTGGGCCATGAGAGAGGTAAAATGGGTGGGATTATGGAAGGAAAATTCGCCGGGGGCGGCGGTTGGGGGTGGGATGGAACGTGCGGGAGACAGCTCTATTATACGAGTATCGTAGGACTGTCTACACTGATAGTTTAAACCCCTGAAGGTGAGGGGCGCTCGAGCCGCACAAGGTTCACCGATCGCTTAACACCCGGTCAGCCTTCCACTGAAGAGGCGCCGCCCATGGAAAAGGTTTGTCTGTGGCCTATCGATATATCGATATCCAGGAAGAGAAAGTGGAGAAAATTGTCAGGAATTAACCACTGCATAACAGAGGTGAGGGGAGAAGGAGAAGAGAAGATGCTGAGCCCAAGTTGAGATGGAAAGGAAATGTGGTCTAGACTGCCAGTAATTTTCTGTCGAGGTGAATTGTTCATCCGATACTCGAGCAGAGGCATTCGGTCCCGCGGTGGAGAGGGGATCATGCAAGTATCTTCACTTTTCCAAGGGCAGAGCTGAGTGCCTCTCATGTCGCATCTATCATATCTTTTAAATCAAACACCTTGTGGGGTGAGGCTGTTTTGCTGCTGGCCGTGTCTACCCAATGTCTCTGGAACAGCATGCTGGCACTAGACCTAACCGTGGCATTGCCCTATCGGGTTGTGTGCAGCATGGCGCAAGCAGTGCAACCTGCAGTCGTACGGCCATTGACCACCGTCCGACTGCGCTAGCCCCCACTCTGTCCAGTCCGCCCTTGGCGGCTTCCGGACGTGGTGGACGGCAGTCTACTGCAGTCTGCAGCCGAGCAAAATTGGTCCATGCACCAAGTGAAACACCCACTAACACTAAAACAGGGGTCTCCTCAGCCACTAACCAGCCACATGAGGTTGCCTTAACAACGTGGTGGCACGAAGCGCTGCACTCATCTCAGAAAGCGGGACACCCCTGTTTCGCTGGTGGAATGGCTCTGCAAATTTACCCACTCGGCTCAAAATAATGTAGAACAGAGGTACTCGTACAAGGGTCAGCATTGCAACGCATGCAACTCTCTAAAGTAATTTGTAGTATCCCCTTCATTACTACGGTACATCAATGGTTCAAGTAGCAGGGATTTGTATACCGGAAAGGATAAAGGTGGTTATTGTGGTTAAGTTGCAGTATAGAGAGCATTAGTTTGGGCTTGTTTCTTTATTTTCTTCAACACTACCCATCGTTTGCGTCGGTGATGTTGAAGCGAAGGTGGGATCAAGATCTGTCGTAGCGGTACATTGGTTGTGGCGGAGTTCGTTGCAGTGATGACCCTTGTATAATTAGTATAGTACCTGTGTTCTACCAGTAGGTTATCTTGAGCCCCATGGATGGCACAAGCCGGATTTCAAATACTTATTATGTGACACAGTATGGTAGCTCCGGCTCCGATTTCGATACCGTTCCACTTCGCCCAAACATGAAGGGGCTGCCTAAAATTTCCGTCCACCTACGTGATCTCCCCGAGCACCCGTACCGTCCCCGCCGAACTAATACCGCCTATGGCAAGAGGAAAAAAAAAACCACTCTTCCAGCCCAGCCCGAGGTTCCCCTAAAACACGCTCCCCAGAAACCTGTGATCATGAGGGTTGATTGGTGGATAGCAGCTTTCCTAATGAAAGACGGGTTTAGCGAGACAGGTCTCGACACAGTCCCTGGCGAGACTTGTGGCAAACGAACATGCTGCGACACTCACGTTTGTCCATAGGAATAATCTTCAAAAAGTTAACTCTGGTCCAAGAGGGAGTTGTCCTGGAAAGTACGTGTCGGGATTAATTGTTTCAGGATTTTTACGCACAGCACCGAGCAGAATCCCCTGCACTTGAGGCAACGCCCATAGAGGGCAAGAGATTTTGATCGCTACTGAAAATGTTAGCATGAGGCTGATCTACTCATGTATGGTGTTCGAGAAATGGTTGGCCCGAGGTCTTGCTGACAGGAGCGAGGCGCACAGCTGCCTTGGTGCTGAAAGCGCTGGCGTTTGAGTGACCCCGCTCTGGGTGAACTTAAAAAACCTTGCTCTCCCAAGAAGCCCTGTAGGAGTATGACCAGTTGTTTCCCACCCATCTTTGAATCCGCAGTCGAAATCATCACTCAGAAGAATCTAACGGTTGACGGTCCACCGACCGCCAAAAGCGAACGCAGGCTTTTGGTTCTCTTTCACTACCAAAAAGCAGCAAGCAATCAAAGCCAAATATTCGCACTTCCCCTCTTTAGACCCATAACCTCCCAGAGAAGAGAAATGGCAGAGGTCTTCTCCGCGGCTGCCAGTGGCTTGGCTCTCATTCACCTCAGTGCGAAGGTTTGCGAACTTTGCTGTAACTGCTACGATGCGGTCAAGGGGAGCCAGCAGGATTTCAAGGCACTGGGGGACGAGATTAAACGTATCCATCGACAACTCGAGGAAATCCAAAGCCTAGCTACCGGAGATGATAAGAAGAACCCACAGTACCCTAGCCTTCTTGAATGGACGGAGAAAGATAGTTTTAAAGATTGCCAGACAGCCCTGCAGGAGCTGAAAAAAAAGTTGGATGTTCCGGGATGGAGGAAATCGTCGAGAAAATATATTTGGCCTATTCATAAACCAAAAATGGAACGTTACTTGGGTTTGATCAGAGAGCAGAGATTGGGACTTCAACTCTTGTTGGCTACAGCCACAACGTAGGTTATCCATACTTCAGTGCCGGAGAATCCAACATCTCCACCTCCTTCTTTTTTTGGTGCCGAGGCTAACTAGTTGTTCAGGAAGACTATAACAAAGATGTCGCGGAAACAAGACGGTACTTGGTCACATTATCCTTAACAGAACTAATTATTTTCTTTGCTGATATCAGGTGTTTCCGATATTCCAGACAAAGAATTCAAGAAAGTACTAAAATGGCTTAATGTCGTTGATCCAGCCTCCAACTATTCATCTGCGCTTGCTGTTCGTGCACCTGGTACGGGGAATTGGCTGGTCGCGGGGGGTGAGTACAAGGACTGGAAGGGTCACCAAGGAGGGGTTCTCTGGCTTTATGGGATACGTAAGTGCACAGACAAGTGAAATGTTTTATTTGAAAAATATCACTAAAATTTGCATCACGTAGCTGGATGTGGCAAGAGTGTTCTAAGGTGCGAACTTGAACTGATATCTGGAGGAGCGATATGATTTCAAGATTGCTAACTCACGCTCTAGTGCTACCGCCATTGAAGATGTCAAAAGTCTGTGCGATACGAACGATGATTACGGGTTGGCTTATTTCTACTTTACGTTCAGCGACTCCGGGAAGCAGCGATTGGACAATATGCTTCTATCCCTTATTGGCCAACTTCCGAAAAGGCCTTCGGATCATGGTCTGCCAAGTGCTGTTGTAGATCTCTATAATCGGACCAAGGCAATTGGAAAGTCGGCGGATACCAGCGTTCTGAAGGTTCTATTGTCGCACATTATAAAGGGCTTCAGGGGGACGTTTATTATTCTCGATGCCTTGGATGAATTCCCCAAGAGTAAACGGGAGAGTCTCCTATCCTGGATCAGGGAACTTACGGTTGACCATCAGGCTGGATCGCTTTCTATTCTCGTCACGAGCCGTCCCGAGGCCGATATAGTGGGATCACTAGTGATAGCGGGACACAGTTCAGTGTAGGAAAGGCAACAGAATCACAGAGTGGATGAAGACCGAAGGTGTGGAGAGAGGAGTCGTTCTTGTCATCGATCGGAAGGTCCGAAGGAAGACTAAAATACAAACAAGAGAGGAAGCCACCACTAACAGGGCTGGTTCCCCTAACAGTATACAACATAGTCACACCAACTAACTAGGAACCCATAGCCCTAATACATACACCCATGCTCCCCCATACATCTCATCAGCACTATACAGTCTCCCCTATATCCAGCTATTGGGATCATGCCATCAACTAGAACCACTCACGGCTTTTTCAATTTCGCTACAATCCAAAATTATCGATCCGGATATCCGAACATATGTACAGAAATCTCTGGAGGGCAAGGGTGGCTTCAAGAGGTTTACCGAAGAACTTAAGGATGAGATAGAGGACACGCTGGTTGCTCGTTCGCAAGGAATGTATGTTATACTGTACTATTGGGATTTGAATTTTCGCTGATACAAGGGTGGGAATGTCAAGGTTCCGATGGGTGGATTGTCTTTTACGAATTCTAGAGACATGTTTGGCACCGGACGATGCAAGAGCCGCGTTCGAGAAGTTGCCCAAAGACTTGGATTCCGTCTACCGGAGGATCCTGGAAGACATCGACGAGATGCAGAGGGTATACCTGCAGCGAGCGATGAATTGGCTGGCATTTTCAGCAGAACCCTTGACGTTAGGCCAGCTTGCGGAGGCTGCCGTGATCGAATACGATGTCTACAAGTATGGCGAGGATCCTAAGACTCGCACTCTTTTTGATACGGGTTGCCTCATGAGCATTTGCCCTAGCCTTATTTCCTTCGAAGATGCCAGGGACGATGAATCATCGCCCCAGGAATACCGCCGATTACGACTGGCGCATTTTTCGGTAAAGGAATATTTGATCTCCGACCGGGCAGCTCAGGGCCCCAGTGCCTACTATCGCATTTCCGAGGACGAAGCCAATTTACTCATGGGGCATGCGTGCCTAAGTCGAATACTGCGACATAGTGCCCGGGGCACTATGCACGAGGAGGAAGTCCAAGAAGCGTCATTTCTCTACCACAGTGCTCGCTACTGGTTTGTGTATACCAAATGTATTGAGGATACGGCACCCACACCACTCTCCGACGCGGCGGTGGAGGTTCTCGAGCTTGGAAAGGACTGGTTAGATGTATATGACCCTGATGATCCTGACCGAGAGGAACCCCCGGGTTCCGGCGTTTACCCACTAGCTCTCTACTATTCTTCCTTGTTAAATTTAGTGATATTTTGTGAATTCTTAGTCAGTAGAAAGGAGGATACGGTAAACGTGAATTCTCCGGGTGGCTTTTATGGAAATGCACTACAAGCGGCTGCAGGTGAGGGACACGAATTGGTTGCGCGGATTCTCCTCGAGCATGGGGCAGAGGTGAATTCTCCGGGTGGCTTTTATGGCAATTCACTACAAGCCGCTGCAGGTGAGGGACACGAATCGGTTGCGCGGATTCTCCTCGAGCATGGGGCAGAGGTGAATGCTCTGGGTGGCTTTTATGGCAATGCACTACAAGCCGCTGCAAGTAGGGGAAACGAATCGGTTGTGCGCTTCTCCTCGAGCTGTGGGGCAGAGGTGAATGCTCAGGGTGGCGAATATTGGCAATGCACTACAAGCAGCTGCATATCGGGGGAAACGAATCGGTTGTGCGGCTTCTCCTCGACGTGGGGCAGAGGTGAATGCTCAGGATGGCAAGTATGGCAATGCACTACAAGCCGCT